AAAACAAATAGAGTGGAAACAGAATTGTTCTGATATAATGCAACCGGTGTGGCATAAAATATATGTAAAATAATTATCGTTTCTTCACATCATTTTACAACATTAAGATTATTTTTTAAGAATTATTATCACAAGCCTGCTCTAGGTATACTTGTCTGGGGTTTATCCAACATCACAGTTTGCCAAAAGCAAGCAAATGAACCAAGAAACCAGTCCTTCAGTGGACATTTTCTAGAGGTGAGTTTTCTTATCTCTTAGGCACTTGGACTTTCTAAGGATTTTATAAATAACTATGGACTCCAATGGTCCAAAACCACAGTTTTCATAAATCCAATAAATGGTTATTTGTCTCAGCAATAACTTTCTAAACTGAATACCACGGAACCTAACATTCATAATGCATGATATTGTAATCCATTAAAAAATATAGTGACTCTGAATTTCATTTATGGTAAGAATTTTCATTGCAGGTATGACTTGCTGTGCTGGCTCTATTTTATTTCTTAAACATAAAGAAATGCAACAATTAGACAGAACAGTCTCTCATACATGGCTCATCTACATGATTTACCATCTTTCTGTTTTACATGATCTTTTCATTTGTTAATATATTCAGTGGCTTTAATGAACAAGAATTTGAAGATCAGTTTCTATCCCCTCACCGTCCCTGACCTGGAAGGAGTGAACTGACCTCAGAAAGTCAGGGAATTTGGGTTAAAGAGCCCTGAATATTCAGGCAGCCCAAATTAGGCATTTAGCATTCCAATCTCATAGCAACGCCCCTTCTGCCCAATGGAAATATATATATCCCTGTATATCTGACTATTTTTAGTACTCTCAGTTGCCAGTCTGGTGATGTAGGAAATAACAGAGAATCTGAATGTATGAGTGTATAAAAAGTACATAGAAAAGCACTTGTATGTGCATTTGTGTGTAGAAAGATTGCAAGCTTCATAATTCTTTAACAGCATCTATTGTCTCACATTCTTTTAATTTGATTAAGTATGATCTTACATAATATTTTCTGTTATTGTTCAGTATACATGAGAATGCATGTACCATAGGAAGAGAAACTGTGCAGCTTACCTTTTCATATACACAAATGTATCTGACATAATATTTACCATATGGAACCTGTTGAGAATTACAGAGTTTTGAAGGATGCGTGATTGTAATAATAGCATTGTCCAATGAACTTATAGAAGTATAAACATCAGAATTTCAAACAGGCAGAAATTTTTGATATTACAGGCTGTGTTAGGCTAATATTTACCATAAAAGAGGAATCACTTCTGGAAGGGTTAAGTCGTTTGTCAAAGATCACAAGTATTTGGTGAACAAGCTGACATGAGCCTTACATCTGTCCCTTAGAATGTTACCAGGTTGCATGTACCATGATCTAATTTTTTTTCTTAAAGTTACAAAGTACTGAGTAGTTTTTATATAAATCAGCAGTATAAAAATATTTGTAAGCATGACATTAAAGAAAAATCATGCATAGATAATAAAATTCATATGTGTCAAATCCATGAAAACGTAGAAAGCATTTCTCATAACAGTGTGGTAAATTTACCTAATGTACAATTGGTGATTGATTAAAGTATGACCCTTTTTAAGATAGAGCAAAAATGATAATATTGATATGAATTATTTGCTTTGGATATGATTTCTCAAAATGCTGACATACTTGGATGCTCATTGTTGCCTATAATGTGTGCCTGCGGATGAAAATGAGATAATATATGTAAAAAGCTCAGCAGAGCGTCTGACATTATTAGACATTTACCAAAGACACATGTTCATAACATGTAAATGACTAGCGCGAAACCCACTTTAGTCCTCAGTGTCCCTTCAGCGTAGACTCTTAACAACAATATAGCTAGTGATGAAAGGGCAACATACTTTGTTTTATCAGATCTGAATGCGAGAAGCCAAGAACATCCAGCTGAGAAGAAAGGAGGGAAAACTGTGTGATAAAAGCTATTGGATCTTTTTGGTGAATGGATAAACATTCTTTTATTGGCAGAACGAGGGCGAAGTTGATCCTGAGGAAACGCCGTAGTGTAACCAGGTGCAAACTTCCCACAGTGATTTTATCCTTCTAATTGTAGTAAAACTTCAAGCCATTTTGGCAAATTAAAGACTCAATTACGTTGACAGAATTTTGAAGCTATTTGTAAAGCGAGGCTTATTTAAATTTTCCGCAGAAACTGTTATTGTTTTATCACTTAAGACCTCTGGAGAGATGCTCTTAAATAGGCCTGAATCAACCAAAGAGAAATTTAAAAATTCTCCTGAGAAATCGTGGCAGAGGGTAACTGATTTGTTGTGCTCCTTAAGAGTAGAACTATTCTTCAAAAGAAATCATTTCTTGATAATATTTATAAAATTCTCAATGGGTTTTAAACCCACAATGCACTTCATTTTAACATATCAGCCTGTCCCTGGAGAACGGAGTAAAATATGGCTTCCGGGGTAGTCCGTCCTTCTTGCACACCCATGGGACCGTCTTCATTTTTCTGCTATAATCTTTAATGTAACTTTCAGGAAGGATATCTTAAACAAGTGTAAACCTCAAAATTGTGTACTAAATAGAGATTAGTCTGTCTCATTGAATAATAGGCAATATAAAGATGAAAATGAGTTGGAGAATCCAGTAACGTACTGACTACTGAACCGAAATTCACCTTGTTAGTGGAATTCCATATAAATATCATTTTAGAATATGTAACATATGGATTTGTATGCTATCTCAAAGTAACAATAGAATAAGAGCATGTACAAGTGTCAAATAATCACTGATAGAATTGCAAGTTTCCAAACATTTCAATATTTATCTCCATGAACACAGAAAAAACAGGGATTGATTTTCATTGGAGTGCTTTGCGAGTTAATGTAATTTCAGGTCACTGGTATCTTGAGGTTGGAATTGCTATTTTAAGCAGAAATAGGCACCAAATGCAGAAAATTAGAAGATTAAAGGCTCTCTGTATACATGCTTGACAGTGCAATAAACGTGTTCTAGCAAATGAGATTACCGATTAATCAGGAAACCCAGAGAATTACTGGCTCAGAATTGGTTATTAACATCAAGTGAGGGCACAGCTCACAATTCAACTATTAATGATGAGGAAATGTACAGTATTTAATTTTCAGAATTTTTTGTTATCTAATAATGGGTAAACTATTGCTTTTATGACTCAGATTTTTCCTCTCAGTCTTGCTTTAACACATTTAAATGGCTATTCATAATTTCCAGTAAGATAATGTTTCAGGATGATTCCCATAAATATTCAAGAAAAAATGTAGATTTATTCTAAGCAGAGGGAGGCAATAAGTCCTAATGCAACCATGTATCTCTGATTTACTTACACCTCGGTAGTCTAGAAGACATTATGTGAGCTTTCTGGGACATGAGTCAGCCAATAGCAATGAAAGCTGTGACAAACATCATCTTGACAATTTTATTACGTTATAAAAGAAAACACGTTCCTAGAGGGTGGCTGGAAAAACAGAATTTCTACTACTTCAGACGATATAATTTATGTACTCCAAGACAATCAGGTATCAAAAACAAAGCTATACTAAACTTATGCCAATTATAGCAAAATTATAAATATGATTTAAGATTAATCTGAAACACGAGGCCCTTCATGAAAAGGTAGATGTGCACTCAGTATGCTTAAAACGCATACATCATTTGAATGAACGTCACACAGCCCATCTCGGAATAGAAATTCCCTTTGGCAACACAGAAATACAAAACTTTGAGTTAATATGAGTGTTTTGAGGATAAATAAGGATAATGATTTCACATATAAAATAACAATTCATATTTCAGTTTGCTGAAAGAAAACACAATCTGGGAATTCCTGGAAGGACAGTCTTACATAATTCACTTGAATAAAACATACCTAGCAAAATAAGAAAGCATGAATTTTTATATTCGTCAGTAATATAGACACAGATGATCAAACAAGGGGTGAAATGGTGGCATGCAGTCAGTTGTGGGATAATGTGCAGAGATAGTTATAGTTGAACTTGTGAAAAGCAATCATGACTGGTATTATCATTAATGTAGAGACCCTCAGGGGTACAACTGCCCTTTTATCATTTCAGGAGTACGTGTGACCTTTGTAACTTCTCCACAGTCATGTTTTTAAATTTATTTGTATAGAAGTCTAAAAGAAAAGTAATAAGTATATTTCCCTATGCAAAAATGATGGAATAAAACAGGGCAATTGTGCTTTGCTCCAGTCAGGCTCAGTCCTAGGGCACATTTGGGAAGGGTCATGTGGACGAGTGTCCAAAATGCAGACTAAGGGCCAGTGCCTGAATGGAAAGGCCAGAAAGAGTTAGCTGGAACAACCTGTGAAGTTCTATCATTATGATCCACCGGAGCACACACTCAGGGAGACGTTTTACTGAAGGATTACAATCTACTTAGAGCGATTCACCATCTCAGTGAATGCATTTCAAAAGTCAACATTGTCTTCATGGGGAAAAGAGCCTCCTTATGTCTGACTAGCATTGACATCATGCCAGATGAAATGTTATCACCAACTATAAAGATATAATTAAGCATTTTCTTGCATTTTCAGAGAAGATAAAAAGAGACGGCAATGACTAAATAGTTGGTTCTCCACAAAACATATTTTGAGAAGGTTCGTTTGCTAACTCTGGACTTGACAGAACACCAACTCTTAGGGACAATGCTTGGTGAAGGATGGCAATGGGGACAGCTCAGGGGATAAACAGAAAGTTGTCTTGAGGTTTCCAAAAGCACTACATGAAGAAAGGAAATCTTAAGAGAGAATCTTCGATGGCCTTGGGGAATTCCCAGAGGGTTCACAATGGTTTTATAATTATACTGAAGATTCTGAAGTTTCATTTTTTTTCATGTTTAACTATATTTTCAAAGTACCATTAAATCTGTTTTCTTTTTCTTCTATACTTAAATAAATGTATAAAACTATGATCTTAAAGCAGTCATTCCTTACCTTTGATTCTGGAACTTTCTTGACTTTTTTCCTGCTGGAATTAAAACAGAAAGAGGTCAGAATTTGTAAGAATTTGATCAACAATCTGATATAAAGCATCACTATAACTAAAGACTTGTTAAAATATTTTGTTGTATGTATAGCCAGGAGTCATTGTAACACAATTCTCACCTTAAAAATATTTTATATACATTTTTTTTATTAGAGTAGTAATCATTCTTAGTGGACATAAATTTTTTTCTAAGAAACCAATACATATAAGAAATCAATGCATATAATATAAATAAGAATTTATAAATAAATGGCTAATGAATAATAATCATTATGCCTCTCAAATGCCTTGGTCTGTTCCATTTAATTCCAACAGATATTGAATGACATCTTCAAAATTTGCTTTCAGTCTTTACATTAATCATAAATGGTGAGGAAAAAAAAGTTTAAGGGCAAACAATGAAGAATTCACTAAAAATAACAAAAGATGTTTCAACTGTTTTCCCTTCAGTTTAGCTTAGAATTGGTCCCTGTCTCACTTATCTGAGGCTAAAGTTGACAACAATTCTATTATTTATTCAAAGCTGCTTCAGTCAGACCTGTCTTTCAATTTGACATACTCCTTATTAGTTACCAGGCAACCCCAGAAGAATTAGCTTGCGTTCAAGTTTTTAAGTAGAAATTGTGCACTCTATAACTTCTCAATTAACATTCAAGCACAATTTACTCTGTCTAAAAGTTTCAGGGTCTCATACTAAAAACAATTCTGAAATATGCTTCTAATAAAAATTATATATTTAGATGCAGAATTGTATGAATGTCAATAAATTTTGGTAAAAAGTGTGAACATAGTAAAAAAACATACAAAACGTATTTTGCTGCAAGCATTCACCTAGTCAGATTTCAGGAATAAAAAATGTATATTGACAAATGTATATTTATTGAATCAGCTAACCCAATGTATGAATCTACTGGACTTAAATATTTTGTGTTCTAAGGCTGTTATCCTAACCCATCCAACCTTTGTGTTTAAATTCCATACTGTCCTTTGTTAACTAATTTATTTCTTCCAGTTCTGATTTATTTTTAATTTAGAGTTTCTGTTGTTCATTTAAACTAAAATTTAAATATAAATTACTTGTTTTAAAACTACCTTATTTTTTCATAATTATAGGGCAAGCACACTTAAATTTTCCAAATAGATACTAATGAAAAAAAAATCTTTCTCTGTCTCTCTGTCTCTGTATCCCCTCCTTTTTTGCCATTCATTCATTCTTTTAGTCATTCATTCTTTCACAGATTTGTATCGATCACTTTTATGTGCCAGACACTGTTCCAGGTGATAAAACTCTAAAGGATGAACAAAATAGAAAAAAATGATGTCTGTATGGAAACTAACTATGATATAAATGGTAATCAATTCTACTTAGAAAAAGATACACCATAGAAGGTGGTAGTGTGGTGTGACTGCCTGCAATTTTATCCAAGTCTACTATGATAATAATTTTTGAGTAAAATTCTGACTGAGATAAAGGAATGATCTCGGCATATATCTGGGGAAAACATGTTCAGGAGAGAAAAAAAATTGCAGATTGACTGAGATACAAGAGATCTTGGTATTGTCAAAAATACCAAGGAGACTTGTGTGGCAGGCAGGTGGCGGGAGGGGAGTTAAGGGGGAAGTGCAATAAGGGAGTTAACAGGGGCAGACAGACCAGCACTGGAGTAACTGATTACTTCTTCAGCTTTTGCATTGAGAGAGCTGAGCAAAACATTGTTTCTACTCAGGGGAGTCACATCATCTGAGTGACATTTCAGTAGACTCATTCTGGCTGTTGAGAATAGTTTGAACAGGGCAAGGATAAAATTAGAGGGACCAGTAGAAGGTCTTGCAGGAATCCTGGTGGGAGGTGATAATAACTTGGAATGAATGGTGTGGTACCAATGGAGCTAGAATATCAGTTAGAGCTGGAAAGATTTGTTGATAGAATGTTCTGGATGTGAGACAGAACAGACAAGGGTGATCTCAAGCATCTAAGCCCCTAGAAGAATGGCGTTACCTCTAAGATAAGAAAGATGGCCAAATAAGAAACACTTTTATACCTCCTTCGCTTGCCTTCTAGAATTGTTCCACTTTGTGAAATTTTCTCTTGTTATCTGGCTATGCCTGTTTTAGCTCATTTGCTGATTCTTCCTAGTCTCCTCAATTTCTAAATACTAGATTTCCAGACACTGAGCCCTGATGTTTCTTCCACATACCTCATTCCTTGGGTGATCTCATCTAGTTTTCCAGCCTTAAGTGCAATCCTTTGCCTAGGGACTCTCAAATTTATATCTCTAGCCAATCCTTATCCCTGAGCTTCAGATTCATATTGAAGTGTATTCTTGACATGTTTACTTGGATATCTAATAACAACCTACCTGTCATGTCTAAAACCAAACTCTGACCGTCCCTTACTTCTTTGACCATCTTTCTCATCTGCCCCATCTTCTTCATCTCTCTGTCCTTCTGGTTGCTCAGACACTTAAAGTAATCTTGGTCTATTCTGTCTCTTAAGAGTGAAGAGCCTGAAATTTTCATGGGTATGATATTTGACTTTGATTTTACTTTGAATACTACTTTGAAGAGGCAATGTAGGCTGATGGTCAAAATGTCTAAAACTTTTGAAAGGTCCTTCAACAAACATACAAATTTAGAAACCACCAGCCTATGTTTAAATCATCAGTATCGCATCTGGAGAACATATAGTAGAGTTAAATGATCTAGAACTGAATACTGTAAACAACATAAGAAAACTATAATGTCAAATTAGCCAAAGAGAATAGGAGGGTGGACAAGTTATAGGAGCACAAACAGGAGAGCATGGAATCATGGCATACTAGGGAATGTATTATATAAGAGAGAAATTTTCAATAATGGGGAATTCTTTTGATAGCTCAAGTACAATTATGTGTAAGACAATGCCAATCTCTTGTACTGACATAGATGAAATTACTGACTTCAAAGAAAACTCATTTTTGGTGATGTTTGGACTTGGAGGTAAAATTGAAGTTAGTCAAGGAAGGAGAGGGTGATTGAGAAATGTGTGATGTGGTGAAATGGGATGGGAGAAACATGACTGGGAAAGAAAGGTCTGGGATGGTGTGTCGCTGAACATAAAGCAAAGTCTGCAGAGATGTTGTGTTTGCTTTTGCTCATTTGTTGTTCTGTTTTATTTTGTATAAATTTAGAATATGTTATTTATATCAGTGAGAATTTAGACTGTCTAAATGATGGGAGATACATAATAGAAATGGAGAGAATTCAGATAAAAGGGAGAGATGATTAGACTATATTTATAAGGTTATTGAAAAGGTAGATGTGATATAGAATATAAGTGGGGACAAAATTTAGTTAGAAGGAGAACCGGTTTCTCTGCAATAACTGGTGGGCATAGGAAAGCATGGTTTTAGGTGTTGGAGGTTTGCAGGTTTGACTTGTTGAATTGAACGCGTGCAGTTTGGGATGACTTATTTTCTTTACGTAATGGAACGAAAGTTGGCTGAGTGGTAGAGTAGGAGGGTTTGTCAGAAATTTGAGGAGATAGAGTAGACTTTAAACCTATTGGTTTTTGTGAGAGGAGTAAAACAGCTTGGTGTTGATGGAAGCCTAATTGAGTTTGGCTGTCATAAATATGCAGTGACATTGATCTTAGCCTTACTTTAGCAAGAGTCAAATAGGCTTAACACTCACTGATGTCATATTTTATTATGTTCTTTTCTTAAAACCCAATTCTCTATTTGTACAAGTGTACATAATTATAAATTCCCAATGAAATATTTTAAAATATTCTACAAATGGGAAATGCTTCAGAAGCCTGTATTTAAATATATGTGTATATATGAATTTAATATATTATAAAAATGTAAAATTCATATGTATGTCATACATAGAAAAACATATATATATTTAGGATTTTCAAAGTCAAAACTGTTCCAACTTGTTTCTATGACTAAAATATTGCATATTCACTTGGTAATATATATTTTCCACAATTTTATTTTATAAACTGTTACCTCATATTTGAAGTGTTAATTTTGAAATGAGGAAATATTAAGAAAATTGGAATTATTGAATTATGTGAGAACTCTTAAGAGCTTGGAAAAATTTGTTACCCTGGTTGTGTGGTACATTTGAGAAACAATCTTGCACCAGGAAATCTTAGGTCTTGTCCATAAGAGTAGAATGCCAATCTCTTGGTATAACTCAATTTTAATATTCTTTCAAAAGATTTTCTGATAAAGTGATCTTGTCTTAATTGAATAAATATATACTTGGCCACATAAAGAAGCTAAATAATAGCAAATGATCTGTGTTTTACTTTGTACCATATCATTTCTTAGAAGAATCCCAACGTGCTATATTGATTACATAAATAAACTCCATGAAATCCAGCCCAAAGGTAGAAATGAGCAAATAGATTCTTGCAGGCAGTATGTTAAAGATTAGCAAAGATAATCTGGACAGAAGCATGGATTCAGAGAAAACACATGATCATAAGGTATGATCTCTTTAATGTTAAAAAAAATATATAATAAATGGAACTGAGCTAAGTCAGGGTAAAATTAAGTCTAGTTGGAAGCAATAATTTTTAAAGGAGATATGGTGGTCCTGAAGCATCTAGGCAAATTAAAATATACCCAAATAACATCAATACACAGGCAGCTAGTCCTTTAAGTGGGCAGAATGTTATCAACCTGGACGATCTTACTGAGCATTTCTTAACCAGCATTTGGATTTTGGTATGACATTTATTAACATCTGATGATGGCTGTATCATGAAAAATTGACTTCTTATAATCAAACACTAAAACTAAATATCTGGCCACCATTTCTCCAGACATAGTTTACTGGATACCTTCCATCTCACTACTCTCTGGGTAGAGACAAAACTACCTAAATGCTAAGCACATCCTCTCCATCATGACAACATTGAGTTATAGACATCAGACCATCCGTGACTTGCCCTCCCATTCCATGCTAGAAAGTTGAAATCACTCTAA